TCTCTTTTGTTTTTGGCAACTATTGCAATGTTATGTTTACTTTTCATGTGTTTGTTCTAGTACTTTTGTATGTGATGTTTTATTCGACCGGATATTAAGGAGAATGCATACACCACAAGAGAAAGCACAGATTTTATAGTGGTTCATAGAAACGAAATCCATAATGCAAACACAGACAAATTGCAGAAGAATTTACCAAAAAGGTCCTCCATCCAAAAGCAGCATCTTGCAATGGAAAAAGGAAGTATTGCAGATAAGAAACATTCCGGACGTCCCTGCACAAGTGATTTTGATGTTGAGCTTGTCAGAGAGACATTTTTACACAATCCTAGATCTGTGAGATCAGCGGCAAGAGAATTAAATATGCCAATTTCAACGGTATACAAGGTTATTAAGAAAAAATTAAGACTGCATACATACGAAGTTCAAGTTGTTCAAGTTTTCGAACCGGACGATAGGCCTAGGAGATGGCCTTTGCAACAGATATGCTAAGGAGGATAGAAGATGATGCTGAATTTCTGAAGCGCATAATGTTCTTCAACGAAGCATCCTTTCATTTTTCTGGCATTGTTAATCGCCATAATGTGCGCATATGGGGATTTAAAAACCCCCATGAATACCGTGAGGCACAAAGGGATTCCCCAAAAGTTAATATGTGGTGTGGACTAATGCACGACCGAGTCATTGGGCCTTTCTTTTTTACAGAAAAGATGGTCTCATCAGTCGTATACTTAGACATGTTGGAAAACTTTGTATTTCCACAACTAGAAGAGCTTCAGCTACATGTCTTTTTGTAACAAGATGGTGCATCACCTCATTGGGTACTATCGTTCGTAGTTCTTTGACTGATCATTTTACAGGAAGATGGATTGGGCGAGGATGTCCAATTCCTTGGCCACCCAGATCACCTGATATAACGCCGTTGGACTTTTTCCTTTTAGGATTTGTAAAGGACAATGTTTACAGGAGAAGAGTGTCAAACATTAATGACCTAAAAGCCAGAATTACAACCGCAATAGCCTCTGTGGATGCCGACATGCTTGCCGGTACCTGGCGTGAAATTGAATATCGACTTGATATTCTCCATGCGACGAAGAGGGCACACGTGGAAGTTCATTGACAAGGGTCATGAAACATTTTGAGTCTATCTAACCATTTATGTTATTAATTTTAACCTATCTTTATTATTTTATGAGTTATTAAACATCAAAATGTGGTCCGGGACTTTATAAACACCCTGTATTTTCAACAGCAGAACATTTACATTTTTAGAAAAATATATTTGACATACGTATCTGGCAGACTGATACAGTTTTAGGATTTAATGCATATTTAGGAATTAAATATGATATGTATGCATATTTTGAGATTTATTAGTTTTTCATTGTTTTGTTCATTTTAAATATTTTTTTTTGGTACTTTTTAAATAATTTATGGTGTATGCCATAGAGCAGATGGACTCCCCTCCAGGTACATGACTAGAACAGGCTTCAAACGTGATGCCTTGAGATTCCTTGCAGTTGCAATGTAGAGTTCTCCAGTACTGAAAGGGAACTGATCATGGAAAGAGCATCATATGGTAGTTAGTTTTTCTAAGATCACTGAATCTTAATGACCTGAAAGAATTCATGCTAAGTTTTGCAATGGCACTTTGATGTATGAAAATCTTTGCATAAAATATTGAAGTGTTTCTTAAGGTAACACTAAAGAGGTGGTTTGAAAGTTGGGGTATATTATGCCCTGCATGTAAAAGGTCAGAAACATGTACTTTAGAATTATTGTTATAGTTCTGAAATATCTTTCAAGAGGATATCTTTGGACAGTTTGAGGCCAATACATGTGACAGTTGAAGGCAACAAATGCATTCTGCCTGTTATAGATATTTTCTGCTGTGGTAGGAGACAAGTTACATTTCCTTTCTGCCTTTTCCAAAGAATTGTGCTTACCTGGAACCTTTAAACAACTCAAATGTAAAATTGAACTGTATGGTAAAGCAATTTAATCACATGATTTGAGATCACTTCTCTTTACTTGGAAGAAAAGCATTGTGTTTCTAGCAAAAAATGGCACAGAATATTTTGCTCCTCATAGAAGAGGACCTTTCCTTTGAAATGCATAAAGTTTTTCCATAGAAAATACATCAAGCTGGGACTGAGTTCTGCCTAAATTTAAAATATTTGTATTTATTTATGTCTCAGGAAGATCAAAACCAAAATTACATTCATTTATGTTAGTTCACAGGAGTATCACATTTATTCCATTGCAAAAAATGTGGCATCTGTCTTACTTCACAATTGAAGCCTTTCCTAATTAATGCAAAAATATGTATCTAGTTTAATGCTATTGCTTTGAATCCACATGAAAGTATTTTCAATGAGCATTGTCAGGTTTTTTTGTTCGGGGCTTAGACTGATTTAATTGGATTATGGCTCTTAGAGTTATATGTCTAAGAAGAGATGTTATTTCATAAAGGACTTTTTAAAGGAAACAGGCTTTTTATTTACATTGCAAATGGGGGGAACTGCAGAAACTTCCATTCAGTCAGCCCATCCATTGTGAAACTGAACTTAAATTATCAGTGTTTAGCTATTTCACTATGCCATTGCTGGTGGTTCTCTTTTGCTCTAGAGCAGGGTTTCTTAAACTGTGGGTTGTAACTCCCTTGGTAGTTGCGGGACCTGCAGCAGGGGGGTCGCCAAAAAGTTTAGGAGTTTTAATATTTCAACTTATTATAATAATTTTACAATTACCAAATATTTTTACACAATTTATCTGAAAGTAGATAAAGATAAGACGATACAGAAAAAGAAAAAAAAAAAATCGTTTCGACGCATTCTTTTTATAATATAAACGTTCGTTTCGTTTGCTTTGCATGTGACGCTGTCATTTCTTCTGTTATTTATTTAAAATTTTCACATTGTTCTATGTCTTAAAATTAGAAATTAAAGTTAATGACCTAAAACTGCAATAGTATATTATAGTAACAAGTGAAAAAATTGACAATTTCATTTGCGTGTGTGTCGGATTTGTGCAGTACTTATGGTATTGCGCAAGTATACTTACAATACTTGCACAATACCACAAAATGTTTGTAAATATCCAGTGTAATAATCCAGTTTTTTTTTTCGCAACTGGAAAAAGTTTAAGAAACCCTGCTCTAGAGTTCTAGATATTTACTGATAATATCTGTAATTTAAAGTTGAATTCATGCAGATTTTTTTATAGTGTTTCCAAATAGTATTTTTGAGGATAACAGAGCTGTCTGATTATTGACTGCAGCACTTAGTGGATTAGTCACTGTGAAACAGAAATAAAATATAAGCTATTTTCCAGTTGTCTAAATTAAATCCAAGTTTGAAAAGTGATAATGATTTGAAATACCCTGAGAAGTATTTATAGTGCGATTGTAATCATATTTATAAGAAATTGCAGTATTTTCAAATTATGGACTGACATGTTAAATGTCAGTTATGTAATATATATATTTCATGAGTTTGTTTCTTATATAATTCCGGGTAAGCCATGATCTAAGTCTTTTTTAAATGATGCAAACATATTATTAAAAATCTTACAATGTCTAAAGTGGCTTAAAATGGCTAAAAGAACTTCAAATGGCTTAAAAGGTACTATGGATATGAAGACTTAAATTTTCTATGTCAGCAATTAAATTTCACTTTTCATAGTTTGTTTCTTGTTCATTTCTTGCTTGCTGCAAGTACTGGTAGGACTTTTTATCTAATTGAAATTCATCTAAGGATTTTTTTCCCTTCAAAATTATTCCTAGTTATGTACTTTCATTTTCCAACTCTTGAACTTGAGAGGAAAATCTATTTCTTTGTGATTAAAATTATGTTTATCTGAATTAATAAATATTCAAGATTTAAAGAAATAGCTTAAATAGTTCCTTTCCCATAGCAGAAATGGCATGAATAGAGTCTTTTGATAGCATTTCTTTTGAGAAAGAAAAGAAATTACTCTATTTGAAGCATATTTATAAAGTAAATTGTAGTTAAGAATCATATGATAAACTACCATTAGTGGTATATCTAAGTGGCCTAATAAATTTAATGGTGAAAAAACATTACTAAAATTCTAAATGTTTTCCATTAATTTTGTGCTTTATGAATCAATCATTTTTAAAACATTATTACTGGAATGTTATAATTATATAGCATATATTCTACTTCTCTTTCTCCCCACCAGAGATCAAGTGGTTAAGATCACTGAATACTGATAGTTCAAACCTAGGAAAATAGGTTAACTGCATCTTCCTCCCTCCCACATGTGTAACATGAGTATGAGCTATTTTACCTTAGTCCTGTATGAAAGAGCTTAGCCATGAAAGTGAAATAACCTAACCTAGCTTATTTCGCTTTTATGAAAACTTTTTCCTTCTTCAATGAAAAAAAGGCTTTGTACTTTTTAATAAATCAATATTGTCTCATGCATTGTTATAAAGAACTATCCTCTTACATTTTTGTTTTAGACCACTATTTTTAAAAAGTAACTAGAAAGAAAGAATTTCACATATGGTTTTTAATAGAAAACCACATGTTTCTGCAGATGAATCTTTAGGATGATCTGTGTATATTTACTTTTTGTCAGGATTTTAAATAACTGATGAGTCGTAAAACTTTTTCAACATTATTTAAGTTTGGTAAATTTAGGCAGGATTTACTGTTAAAAGTCCCAGTTACTGGCTAAACAAAATTTTGTGAAGTTGCCTTGATTTTCAGTAGCATAGTTTCTGTGCTTAAAAACCAAACATATTAAAATCGTTCATTCCAAGTATGCTTATGCTTAACAAATATATTGCAAGTATTGATTTTTGGAGTTCCTTATTTATGTATACTATGAACCCATGATGCCTACATCCCAAAGACAATAATCTTTGAAAAAAAGTGAGCATCTGAATTGTATAACACTTCTATTAAATACACTTATGTTATTCTTCTGTTTTTGCTATTAAACATTTAAATTCATCTATTTTTATATTTTAGGAACTGGGTAATTTGTCCAGAGGATGCCTGTGTTATATTTCCTATGAACGAAGTTTTGCAGAATACTCATGATACCTTGTTTGCTAAATTGTTTTTTTCTTAATATTAGTCAAACATTTATAATTTATAATATTTGTATAATATATGTAAAAAATAAATAATGTTTCTTTAATAATGAAAAAGTGTTCACGTATTTTGGTCAAATTATTAAGATTGCTAGATATGAACAAAAGATTTACTCTGAAGAAAAATTGTTTTCAGGAGTAAGAAAATAAAAAAACTTTTGCATTGTAAAAATGTAATAAACTGGAAAAAAAATTGCACTTATTTTCCAGTTTAAGTACAATAAATAGCAATAAACTTGAAAAAGAAGTGAACGCATTACTTATTGAAAATACTTAACTTCTAAAATAACCATTTGTTAATTTTTTATGTGTCAGACATGACATTAAATCTTGAAACAATCTATTTTAACTAACCATTTATATTTTGGAAAGTATTGCTTTAAAGGAGCTCTAATATTAGCTCCTGTGTATTGAAGGTCTTGAAATCCTGAGTTATAGGAGTTTTATATTTTTCCCCTTTGAGTAAATATTACAGCGAATATATTTACTTATTTATCCTTAATAGCAGAGAGCTAAAATTGATGTGAAATTTTGATTTTTTTTATAACATTAAAATGCTTTATCACCTTGAATTGCCCTTAAGTTAACGATTTCCTGATATTCTTAACACTTTCGATTTCATCCTGAACTTCAACCTTTCCATAACTTCTAGTTTTCAAGCAGTTAATTTTTTAGTTTTATTAGCAAGTAGAATTCAATTTATTTCTTAAGCATTAACATCCACCTCTGTATTTTAAAATTCCAGCCCTATTTGTTCCCATTTTGGTATCTTTTCATTTGTTTGTTCAAATCAGTAAACAAGATCCTCTGTTCTAAGAATAAACAAACACAAACAGTTTCTAAATTAAGATCATTCCAGGCGGACGACTTAGGGTTTAGTCATTATATCTCATTTCTTCTTTCTTTTATTCTTTTCTAGGAAACTGGGAAGAGTCTCCAATGATTGGGCAAGTCTTGCCAGAACTTTTGCAGAGCTTGATACACTCCTTGCAGCTACCTTCAGCCAATGGCTAAGCTTTTCTCCAAACCATCCACTGCCTTCTAACCAGTCTCTTCATTTCTTAATATTCTTCTTTGCTGAACATTATGAACCCTGTTAAATTGTAAGATATTCAGCTATAGGGCTTCGGCCCAGGAACCCTTTTCTGGTGCCTTAAGAAGTCCTTCACCTAAAAAGTTTGCCGGAGCTCACTGAAGCCCCTAAAATTGGTCTTAGACGTATTTCAACCTGACTCATGGCCCAATATGAAATTGTTTGATAGTGGCGGACAAAATAAACGGGCTTGTTGTCATCCCAAACGGCACTCGGCACATTAAAAAAACCTTAAAGCCTAAACTATTGTTGGAAGAATGATCAAACCACAAAAACCTTAAAAAATTTCTATCTTCATTACCAATTTGATATTAAGGATACTACCCTGTACTTCCTTCACTGGTAGGAGCAAGATTGCAGTTAGAAATTAGTTTATTTTCTTAAGAACTTCCTTCTCAAAATGGCATGTTTACATTTTAATTTATTGAGATTATTATCGAATATTTAGGTACAAATAACAATTAAGTTTTAAACTTTACATAAAATTCAGTATGTTTTTGTGGTCAGTGTGTTTTGGGTAGTCAATATGTTTGTATGTTGAAGTAAATATATTCTAATTCTTCGCCCTTATGACTGAGCAGGAATGCTAAAAATGTGGTTTTCTTACCTTAATAAAAGGTAAGAAAAGTAAAGGTATTTTCTTCAGTCTTGGTAGCCTATCCAGAAATGGTGTTTCAGGAACCTTACCATAATAAAGATATCCAGTGTGCTTCTTTTAGAATTGACCTATTTCATTGGGCTGTAGTTTTGTTAAAAAATATTAGATTTTAATGCAGTTTGCGGCAAAAGATTCAGGAAAGATGAAAATTTAGTGGCCCATGCCATTTTTTTGATGGGAAAAGCGAAAAAAAAAGAAGAAATAACAAATAACAAAAACTGCGGCATTCCGCGAAATTCCATACAAGAAAGACTGCATACTGTTGAAGACATAGCACTTTGACGTTTTACCAATGGTGCCACATGCCACATGTCAAAAGAAAGTATGGATTTGATCAGAAGTTCCTCTGGAGACAGCATTATTTCCAAATGTGTGTGACATTCGCGTTCACCAGATTTCTCCATATGGGGTTTTCTGAAGGTCGTGTCTATTCTGATAAACCACAGGCACTTAAATTAAAGGCCAACATTTCTAAGAAAACTCTATACAATATTGCCAACATATTGCAGAGTGTTGTAGTTAACGTGGAGTGGCGAGTTCGGTTGTGCCTATAGTAGTATATCCCAAACTATAAGAGGCGTGGCCTCCGCCATTTTGGATCACATGACTATCTTCTGCCATGTTGGTCCACGTGGTGTCCATTTGGAATGACTCATCCTTCTCCCGCCCTGCTTTCCGTCCTGCATCATTAATTGTATTCGGTAATTATTTATGAAGGATTTAATTATTTATAATTATTTAATTTAACTAATTAATTTATTAATCATGTGGTCCTTGGAGAATATCAGCCTTGTATGCTGGTGCATGCTGCCCTTCACGGCGAGAACGCTGTTTAAAAAAATACCTGGGGCCCGAACCCATGACCTCGAGATCTCAAGCTACGCACTTTAACCATCGAGCGCGCTCTTGTTGGACTGAAAAGACTAAAAATTCGTACTTATAAAGAAAAAGGCAAAGCGTTCAACGAATTTTTTTTTACTGATAGGAAAGTTTCTTTTAAACAACAAATGGGGCAGAAGATATACATATTTTTTTCTTTTTAATTTTTTCAAGCACTGATGACCTTCTTTCAGAAAAAATAAAACACTAATTGTGCTTAATTTTTTAATTAATATTTTTAATTTATCAAATGATTTTTTTTCCTCTAAATGGGTGATTTCATTGTCTAATGGGAAAAATTTTTTTCAAAATCATTTTATGATTTGCAGCGAATGGGTTAAAATGGTATTTTTAAAACTTTATTATTGGTTTTTCTTAAATACATGTTGCTGCTGGCTCCATCTAGTGTCCATAATATCTACTAAAGTTAACTGGATGGTTAAAAAATTTATATAAAGAAATATATATTTTCTTTCCATGGGAATCGAACCCGCTGTCCCCCACAAAATTTAATAAAAAAGGAATTGAGGGGCACCGCATCCAAGTCTTTAAGTGATACCCCACAATTCCTTAGTTGAAATTGTTCTTAATTGTGTATATAAGATTTTTTTTTCCGTGAATCGCCATCTTGCGTTTTTCCTGTAGCCGCCATTTAAAGGATTTGCTTTGGGGGTAAATGACATCACCCATATCATGTTCTTGTATGATTTGGTTGGGAAATGGCATCTGCCTCCTTTGGGTAGATATCCGCATAAGTGAACGAATACATTTCTGTTCTTGCCGATGGCCCTCTCAATGTTGCCTGCTTGTTTCGGCCTGACAGAGCTAAAAATAGGATATTTTCCGCACCTTTTCAACAAAAAAGAAAATCAAAATTATGTGGGATTTTTACCTGAGCCTAAGTACTACGATCCTGACTGTATGGCTAGTGCGGTGCGAACCTCCTTCTTGGAATGGCATAAAGAACACGAGAAGGACATATTTGATTTTTAAGAAGAAATTCTCACGTACTGCCGGTTTGTATCAACAATCTATTTTTTAAGCCTTCATTATGATCCCCCTTTTTTTACGTGTATTTTTTTTTGTACCATGTTTTATTTATTTATTTTATTTATTTTTTTCTTTTTCATTTTCAGATCAGATGTTGATATCCTCCGTAGATGTTGCGTTGAATTTAGAAATCAGTTCTTAGAAATTACAGGAGTAGACCCCTTTTGGTATTTTATACAAGCTTTTTTCTTTTACATGATTTTGTCATTTTGCAACACGTATTGTGTACGTGCATGTATAATATATGTATATATGATTCTTGTTGTTTTATTTTCAGTTACATAACCATTGCATCAGCGTGTAAGGCGGTTTACAGAGCTCAACACTTAATACCTAATACCATAGCAATGATACATGTAGGAGGTTACATCAATCGCACGAATCACAGCCCTGACTGTATTCATTGGCTTGATTTTTATTGCCCAAAGGAAAATATTGAAATCGAACTTGCTTTGAGCGGAAAGGAGAAAAACAGTTGGATAGCATATCTGTAGATGGATATTGCAAAGAAACAAATACAGTTTATCAATACCACGTAAGAGTTCAATATTTATTTAAAAATATATTGTTTATTATATTTATTTATTGGTATTATACAAAAATTTTATCGCAGGGATGTTTCTTGCACGGTTGCCCCACTTGTTTTGACGGAGATGCACTCCATCCTATGACAAAATTACCCATGTCGACATTGCGACAACAAACGGTAGACAAGACTTACCAGCTACGTGCTCGAGGGTATAATGTAATTGAAATGTGGGAGCATGAGTTCGAGATGGAAAAGAAAACAAATGAAGAAGTAAAATATTTTCTTCTAAGTCACGAGCTTCAGGATCCATTAAATCCAAAAGATGCTTTCTTTGGCGGGCAGACAGACATTTCTTTGGCATGTCATTCAGCTGTATTATGAGGGTAATGCAAAGTACATGGACTTCACTTCACTGTATCCATGGGTAAATATTTTTTTTCTGTTTTTAAAAAATAAACATTATTTTGTTCCACAGGACACATCTACAAATGTGTTCTTGGCAGCTTTTACTACTTCTTGGGCAAGATTAAAGCTTTACAGTGAAATAGAGAAGTTGGGCCGTGCTGTGTTGTATCATGACACGGATTCAATTATATATACAAGCAATTCTATTAACGATCTGCCTTTTGGTAATTTTTTAGGGGAGTTGAACAGATGAACTCAATGGAGTTACCATTACTCCATTTGTCTCTGGTGAGCTTCATTTTATTAGGTTGTCTTTTATTTTTTCTTCTAGTTTCTGTAGCATAATTTTTTCCCCATTCAGGAGGACCTAAAAATTATGCTTATGTAACAGCACGAGGAAAGACTTGCTGTAAAGTTAGAGGTTTCTCTCTCAACTTCAAAAATCAACAGATTTTAAATTTTTCGGAGATTAAGAATTTAGTGTGCTCGATGGATCGAAAAACAACAATCGCCATGTACGATGAACATAAAATCACGAGAGATGCCAAAACGAGGAAAGTTTTAACTAAGGCAGAAACAAAATTGTACAAGATTGTTTACAACAAAAGGGTGCTAAAAGAAGATTTATCTACTGTTCCCTATGGATTTTAAATGGTATGGATCTCATTTTTTTATTGCATGGTTATTATTGGATTCATATTTTTAAAAAATTTAAATTTTTTTTGTCGTGAATTTTTAAAATGTACAATCTACAATTTTTTATTTTAATTTTCATTAGCCTTTTCCTAAACAAAATGAGCATATAAAGCTTCACACATTTCTGAAAATCATCAGTATGCAGAATGGAGTTACCCCTGTTGAAGCACCCTTCCACATCTCTCATCAGCTACCCAACAGGATCGGGAAAGACCTATTTTGTGAAACGAGTCATCGAAGAAGGTATGCTTTCACCTATGCCTCAGCGTATAATTTTATTGCTATGGAGCATATCAGCCTATTTTTAGTAAAATGAAAAATGTGCATTTTGAAGAAGGATTGCCATCGAACCTCAATTCCCTGCAAAATGCACTAATTATCATTGATGATTTAATGTCTAAATTAGCGAGCGGTACTCGTTTAAGCAAACTTTTTACGAAAGGAAGCCATCACCGAAATCTTTCTGTAATATTTATTGTTCAAAATTTATTTCAGCAGGGTAAAGAAATGCAAACAATTCATTTAAATTGTCATTACATGGTGTTGTATAAAAATCCTAGAGATAAAAGTCAAATCATACATTTGGCAAGGCAGATGTTCCCCGGAAAAACAAAGGCTTTTCAAGAACAATTCATTTAAATGAACAAGAACAACTCATTTAAAAATTAAAAAATTCATTAAATTAAAATCTTCCAAGATGCAACTTTAAACCCTTACAGTGATTTATTAATAGATTTAAGACCTGAAACCCAGGAAAGGTTAAGGTTACGTACAGGCATTTTTCCTTCAGATAAGCATTTTGTTTATGAACTCCGTTAGTTCTTAGTACGAATAAGTTTTTTTTTTCTCTGTTAGTGATCGTGTTTGAAGTTTTTTTTTCAAAATTGAAAGCTCTCATTTACATTGTAAAAAGAATACATTTGTAAGATCTAAAGTTTTTTTTTTTTTTTTTTTTTTTTTTGAAAATTAGGTTACTTAAAAAAAATGTCCTAAAATATAAGATCTGCACAAAAAGCGACTGCTCATGCGACCTTTATAAAAGAGAAGGAGTTGTAAAACTACTAATCATTTGCGGTCCAGATGTCGAGCCTGGAACATCTTAGACTCCTAGGCAAAAGTAAAGTTAAAAAAACTCTTCTAAGAAAATGCCCTAATAGTGTTATTAAAAGTGTATGTGAATGTGCTTTAAATGTATTACAGGGTAACGTTCCTTTGTCTAAAAGACAGAAACGTAAACTGGCCGTATATAAACGGACTTTGCGTACATTAGGTGATAAAAAGATACCCTTATTTAAAAAACGGAGACTTGGTACAAAAAGGTGATGGTTTTCTTTCATTGCTCATTCCTGCAGTAGTTTCTGTACTGAGCACATTAGTTAATGGAGTTCACTTGTAAATTTATCCTTGTACCCTCGGATCGAGAATTAGAATTTGCTGAAAACCATCTATCGGATTTAGATCAGCAAATGAGTACCATTTTAAAAGAGAAATTATCCGAAGATGAAAAGGCCAAGAAATACCTTTAAATACTTCAAAACGTTTCCCCAAATTAAAATCAGAAACACAAGAAAGTGTTCAGCTTAGCAAAGAAGAAGAGAAAAAGATTACTTTGGACGAAGAAATTGTGAATTCCGCTCCAGAAATTCAAGAGTCTTGTCAAAAGAATTATAGACTTTTTAAAACTTCACAATGATATTATCACATGGACTCCATCTAAAGAATTAATCATCAACCAAGTTACAATTAATAAATCTAATGTTCAAGACTTAGTGAATTATTTGTTAAGAAATCAACAAACCAAACCGATAGGTTATGAAGAGTTTAAAAATTTCTTAGATGTTGTAGATTTTCCCAAGGAATTTGTAAAAAACAAATATCTGTTTACAATGTATGCTAAACCTAAACATGTTAAAAAGAAAAGAAAAATGTATTCAACTTCTTGGATAAAATATTAAATAAAAAAAAGGATATCAATTAAATTTGGTGTATTTTTATTTGTGTGAAAGATATTTTTCAATTTCAGGTTGAGAAAAAAAATGATCCGGAATTTTTTTTTTTTTTTTTAAGGTAAGTTTTTTTCCTTAAAAAGTTTTGCAGATGTCATGTGAGTAAATAAAATTCCAGTGGGAAAAAAGTTAATTTTGCAGTAATTTATAAGGAAAAATAATTCTTAAGTTTAAATGAAAAAAAATTAATTTATTCTGTAACTAAAAAAGTATTATGGAAAGTGAAAAAAAAAACTTGTTTAAAAAAGTCTGTAAATTATACTTAAAGAAAGAAAAAAAAATTCCAAGTAAATCAATGATATTTTATTTCTTAAAAATCATGTTTACACCATATCTTTTCTTCACAAAATGAAATACATGAAAATCACTATTTCTTACAGAAAGATTAGATACAATTGTTTCCAAACATAATCCTTGAGATCGTTTCAGCAAATAATAAGTACAATATTGTCCACAAACATTTGATGTTATACTTTGAAGAGAAACCTGATTCCATGTCACACAGTTAAACTTGTTAGTAAATTTTTCTATGTCATCACTGTAGGTCATAGGAGGAAGTCCATAAGAATCAAAAAATTCTAAAGTCTGCATATCTTCAATGAAGAAAGCCAGCCTGAACAATATTTTGACTCTCATATTTTTGTTTATATTTTTTTGTAACTGCAGCTTCTGAGTAATATTGCACGAGCTTCAAGCAGATGTAATCGTTTTCTTTTTACCCTATAGGTGTTTTTATTCATTATCTATTCGTATTATTATTATCTATGTTTTGTAACAGTTTATGTTTCAGAGAAAGGTAACATACTATGATGTTGTTCTTTTTTAGAGAGTTAAGTGTAACTTTTGTTTTCATCATTTGAGTATGAATAAAAGAACTATTTAATTATTGTAGAGTCTTAAATAACTAAAGAGATATAGATAGTTATTTTCTAGTAATAAATAGTTCTTGAGGTAACAAATTTGGTGAGCATTTTTTAACACAGCCAATGCGTCCCTTCCTCGTTGTGTTTATCAATGTTGACTACAATAGCTGCTGGAAAACTATGAATATCTGGGATTTTATCTGAAGGGAAAGTTCCACTGTAGTACTTTACTGTACATTTATTGCGAGAGAGTATCCTATGAATTTCTGAAGAGTTCATTAGTTGCCAAAATCATAGATGATATTTCTAGATTTATTGATTTCTATTAAATTTTCAAATTCTGCATAGACTATTAACAATGTTGTTATTGGCAGAGGGAAACCGAATTTTACCTCCAGTCTCAAACAAGGAGGTTAGAATAGAAGGAGGGAGGGTTCGCAGTTTCCTCCACTATCGGGGTATGAAACTCCACCAAACAAGCAGCGTCCATGTTTGTAACTTCAAAACATTGCATTACGGCATGTTTACTTACATGTTTTTAAGCTGTTCCGTGCATGTATTTTCCAGTAAAAATATGTTAAATTTATAATAAAATCCTTCGCTAATGTTAAACTTTTGTTTTAAAGTAATAAAGGTCATATCCATAATTTACTATGAACAGAAAATTATTAAGAAACAGTTCAAAATCTAAATGCATGTGTATAACTTTAAATCCCTTAAAAATGATGTTTCTGCATATTTCAAGGATTTGTTTACGTTTTATTAGCAACCTGTTGGGTGTACTTTTCCAATTTTTCCTTTAAGAAGTGATATTTCTGATTTATTCACAATATTATAATTTATTAAAAATTATTTCATATACATAGTTTAAGAGATAGAAAAGAAAGTTATTTTATTTTAGTATGCTTAAATACTTCAGATTTAAGCTGCAATACACTAAAACAGAAATTCACATATTTAAGCAGTAATTATCTAATAAATAGTCACAGGTTGCATTTTTTTTAAATGAAAGTTTTAAATATATTCTTGTCAGAGCCAACAACAGGAAAATAAATATTAATAAAATAAAACAGACTGATGTGAATTTAATGATATCAGTTTATCTGTGTTTCATATTTATGAATCTCGTAGAAATTGCCTTGCATTAAGCTGAATTACAGAAAATATACCTATATAAATTCTTGGATACGTCTTTCCACATGTTGAATTGTGTTAATATTTTACTTACTTTTATCGCTATACTGCCCAGAAATTTGTAAGTTTATGTAAACATATTTTAACAACAAAACAGTTTTTTTATCAAATGCACAAATTATGTTTATAACAGTTCATGAAACTTAAAAATGAATAATAATTAATACATAAAGAAAAGTATTATTTTATTTAACACCTTTACAATTCATAAAAATAGTAAGCAACAATTGATTTCTTACTTTCCATGAAAATTATAAAATGAATTACCTAAAACGTTCAAATTATACAATTTAAATCCTAGCATATATCATTTTATGTTAGGGAACGAAGATACCAGCTATAAGCAGAAACATTAAAATGTATTTAACATATTTGGATTATAATGAAGTCTTTTTTTTTTTTTTTTTTTCCAAATCTGGAAAGAAAACAACATGACATTGTGATATTTTTTAACATATTTATCAAATTACATAAAAAAAGAAAATCAAGACTTACGCGTGAGAAGTAATCCCAGAAATCTTTTTCAAAAATCTATCTGCAACACAAGCTGACATGCTTCAAAAAAGAAAGGAAAAAAAATGTTTGCAATTACAGATTTCCTTGCACAAGTCACAGTAACAAACAAAGCTTCGCCAACCTTGTAACCTTCTTGGTTTCAAATTACTATGACGCACTAAATTCAAATGAGACCCATCACACAAATCAGGTGATAGATCGAAAAGATGCCTTGTCCTCTTTCTATAACTGTTTGGGTTGGAGGTAATGTAAATAAACTAAGTTCAGATTTAGCGCATTCTGGCGAATATTTTAAGAGGAATGCCATTATGAGTTGAAAATATCACGTCCTTGCTCATTCCTGGCTTTAGATGAAATGAAGCATTTGGGAAATTTGCGCTTCCTTTTAAACTTTCCGTGACCAATCATCTCATCTGCTTTTTGAACTGCTTTCCTTTGCTAATTTTTTTCCCACTTTCTTTAGATCTGGTTTTAAAGGCTGATTTTAAAATTTTCTCCTGATATCACATCGTTTGCAATTTGCGTTCCTGCACGTAGAGCTTCTTTTCCAACAGTTTTTGCTCCCTTAATTAAAAAATGGCATGGCACTACGGAAAAGTTTCGCAAAAAATCCACCTATTCCGTATCCTTTCTGTAAAACCATTCCCTGATAATACGGCAGACCTTTTCCAGTTTGTCCCACATAATAATCCTCAAAGTGTTTTGGTGCAACAAGCATATGGAATGAGCATTTTTGATACAGCTTTTAGAACGTTTACACTATGAATGAATAATTTTTTCTCTTTGGTAAAGCTTTTTATAGAATTTGTCTCAAACGAAAGTGGAGCACTATGAAAACTTTACCTCTTTCAAACGGCACCAGACTCCCCGAATGAGACCTTATTTCGATTTCAATCGTTTGAAAATGTTGGACGAATCACTGGTAAATAAAAAGGTCGAGAGTAATGTTTGTCAATAATCTCTCCGTCTTTCCCTTCCACTGTTACAATTTTCAGAAGGGGGGCTTGTACACCTACGATTTGTGGTTCAACTAAATCACAGTATACATACATAACGGGGAAAAAACCATTCGGATTCGCTACGAAAGGACTTTGGACACTTCCTTCGTAAACACCCGGTTCAAATCCTAAGAGCTCAGCTAGTCCTCCGTGAAGAACCACTTTTGATTGTTCATCCGTCTTTATCATTACTCTTTTCGTAATGTTATGATAAGAAAATTCAATTTTGTTTTTATGAGAAACTAAAGTCATAGCTTTTAATATGTCCGGTATCGTTTCATAATAACCAGGAGGAATATGCCGTCCTTCCAGTTCTCCATTGTGAACAGCAAAACCCAAATAAATTATTATCTTTTCCGACATTATACCATGAATGAGGGTAAATAATATTTAGGAGAGCTA